GACTAGTGAATGAAACGGAAACTTGACGTCTGTTTTGGTTTGCAGACTTCTACGAGTTGATGTCCAACGTGGGCGAGCTGAGTTCGCGGCTCAGCTCAAAGAACAGGGCGACCGTGGTCAGCACCCGAGGGAAACAGGTGTCCGCGTTCGAGGTGGCGTCCACTCAGGAGGCCCTGTAAGTTGTGAGGACCTGCTTCTTGAGTCTTTCTTCAAAACTTGAGCGAAGGAGTTTGTGGTTCCACTTTGACCACAAGAATCGCATCTAGTGCTGTTGTGTGGAAAGCAAGCCAATCCTTGTTGTGTGTGTGGGATCATCCCATTTGGTGTATGGTCGTTGTTGTTTGTTAACACACACACGCACGCACTTCCGCGCACCTTAGCCCTGGAATAAAATTCTTTTTTTTGCATCACGTAAGTTCGCCGTTGTTTGTGCAGCGCAGGGGGTCATCTGTGCGTGTGTGCCACCCCCACCTTCTCGCGGACCAATCAGCGCCGCGCCAAGTTGATCGCATGTTGGCGACGTGTTGGTTTTTTTTGCGCGTGCTGACGCGACAACGCGAACCCGGGGCCTCGGGAGTCACTGGTCCGCACGGTGTCGCAGATTGTCGTGTTAAAGGGGATCGCGTGTTCTTCATCCGACCAACCCCAACTCGAGGCGTCCAATTTACGCTAACACCACACAATCGGTGGTGTAGTTGTATTGAAGTTCACGTTGTTAGTAAAAGGCACTCCTAACTTAGAGATGATGATATGACATTTAATGTCCGTTTCTCATTGTTCGATTAACTGAAACGAAAGGTGTAGGACCTCAAAGCACGCATAAGTTGACATCGTGTGATGTACATTACACACTCTAGCATATAATTGCGAGTATACTTATAACCGACTTGGCGGATCATGAGAGAACACGAAATCGGGACGTTCTTTGTGCTTTTGCCCCATCCAACTCCTAACTCCGGCATTAAATCCGTTTTGCTTAAGAAAAATTGGTGCAGAGGTTAAAAGTGGTTGTGCGTCAAACAACTGAGATTGGCCGTTAGGCAGAAATGCCCCATTGTTCAATTCCAGGCTGCGTGTTCACTCTGTGCGGTGAGATTGAAATACTCCGCGTTATTTTAGGCAAAAATGCAGGCCTTCGGGGACACGTAAAAAATGGCGATGTGGTTGAATCCACGGGACTATCGTCTGTTTAAAAACAAACTCCCCAAAGCGGGTAGATATCCACCTTACTGGTGGCGTTACTGCTTGGTTGAACGTTTCGAATTCCGCCATGGCTATAAATAAGCCGTTATTTATAGCTTGGCGCTCTCCTTACTTGACCAATAGGAGGCGACTCAGTGTAGACCATTGCAGAGCAATTCCAGGTGCTGCACTTTCCATTTTCATTAAATTGTGGTAAGACAGAGCGAGAGTTGTGGCGATTCGAAGGTGGAGGAAGGTCTTTTTTTTCGTGAGATCCTATCGCCTCAAGTCCATCGCAGTGTGCGACGTTGAGCTTTGCTCAGAGCTGTGCGAATTCTCGAAAAACTGCGCGGTTGTTTTTGTCCGATCGCAACTTGGTTCTGCGCCACACAGTGCAACTGAATTGTTTACTCAGCCTTTACCTGATTGCACTTTGAGGCTTACCTGTGCAAATGCGTGTTGAGTATGAAAACGCCACTTTTACGGACCTTTGTCACTCGAGATCGCGTGGAATGTGAAGGCGGAGTTCCCTTTTCGGTCCTTCCGCTCAATTCACCGTATACGCTTCTAGCCATAGTTATTGTCGCGCGTACATTCAACTGCCCTTTTGGCGTCTGGTTGTGTAATTAATCATTTCTATTTGCGCCCGTTTAACTGAATTACTCATCACCGCCAGGAAAAACTCACATTTGTGTAATGGTACGACGAATACACCGATTGGCCGTGTCGTTTTAAGTTAGGTTCTTCCGCGATGTGGGCTTTCTCTGCGCCTCAGTAGGGACTGCAATGCCATTGATTGGCGCATATTTTAACCCCAACTTCCATCTGAAGCTAAATGACTTTTTCGACAGCATTGCCAACTTAAGGAAACACTCTTTGTGCATTTTACCGACTCGCCAATTCTCGGTTGCCTGAACGACAGCAGAAATGATTCCTGGCAGTTGCCTCGCCACACCCGAAAGCCAACCACATTATGACCTCGGTGACCTCTGACCTTGAAACACGTGAACACGCGCCCACCGGAACACTCACCTCACATTTGTGCTAGCGGCAAATAAACGCAATTAATTTTTTCCCTTGTGACCGCGCATCATTCTATTGAAATTTGAAATCCCAATTAGTGCGGAATGACTTCGAAATGGACGTCTCCATAAAATTTTTATTTCCTAAAGAAGATTCTGATCGAATATTCGACCCGTCTAATCTCCCTTTGCAAAAACAAGCTGCGTTCCGATTGCCTTGTACTTGGTGTTTCGCGTGCTACTAAGGCATCAGAAATCGGCCATATTTTCACGTCGGCTTTCCGCTTGTGTCGCATTATCGATTTACTGTTGCAGCCCTGGTTAAGTAGGGTCAATCGCACATCTATTTTACACCGGCAGATGCACTGTCTACTGGATTTTATGTTCATGGTGCAGACAGATCGCCTTTCAGTGTTTTGTCTGAAGGCATTACGTTGCGTTATCGTCGTCGTCGTCGCTAAAGAACACTTCAGAGGGTCGTCGTGAAGACACGGAAGGGTGTCGCTTACGGCGGGATGTGTTATCGCGCGTTGCCATAGTTGCACCCGATTCTCATGTGTACCCCTGCCTTTCCTGATTAGGAGCCTCATAAAGTCAAGCTCCAGCATGGTCCCCAAGGGGAATGTGGCATTGCCTCACGCGGAGCCATGGACACCGCCGCGACCCGGCGCTCCTCTCGACGACGAGCACTTTCTGTGGGACCAGCAGCGGCAGCAGCAGCAGCAACATCGTGCCTCCATGCGACAGGTTTGTCCCGTCTTATCAAAACTCATCGGTTTTTATTCTCATCTTTGCATGTAAGGCTTATTACCACGGCGTTTTTTGTCGTTCCAAGGCTCTGTGCCCTTTCTCCACTGCACCCTATCGCTTGGCTCAGAGTGATGCTATCGGCTGTCACGGGAGAGGTCACTACGGTCTGCTCCCAAATTACTAGGCTTCAGTTCCTCAGACATATATATGCAACCGGGATTGTTCTATGACATCATCATCATGGGTCGACTTAACACTTTCTCCTAGTTGGGTCGTCTTTTGCAATTAACTTTTAGTGTCAGTTGATGGGTCGTGTCAATGTGTCTTAATGATCCTTCTTTGAAATTGTTAAGTGTTAGGATTTTTGTAAGTTTGTACACAAAGGCCTCCATTCACGCGGGCTCTGTTCTGATCAGAACGCCTCGCCTCTGTAGTCATCCTCAATCTAACGGTTGCTTGCGTTTACTTGAGAATTTTGCCGTCTTTTTGCTCACGTCTGCAACATCCCCTGTGACTCGAACCGTCAAACTCGCTTGGTTTTCGGATCTCGTGATTTGGCGACTGGCGTTCGCCAAGCCCCTTTTTTCGTGTGTTGGTGGTGTTGGTGGGGGAGGAGGAGGAGGAGGAGGAAGAGAAGGTGAAGGTGAAAGAGAGGACGTTTTTCCACGCATGCAACCGATTTCACGCCGCGTTGCTCGGCAGCGCCTGCGTCTAGCCGTGTTGAGTGAATGCTGCACCGCTTTGCGGTGTTTTGACAGAAAGGGCTTGTCGGGAAGTCGGCCAAACGCTGCCATTTGCCCAACTTTGGGTTATTCCTTATTCTGCCAAGTCGACTCTTCTCTTTCTCCGTCGCAGCCTCCTCGAAGCGTGTTAAACGTAGCCTGTGCATTTCGCTGGCTTGTTCGCAAAGTCCACATCCAATATGTCCACCACAGATTCTGTAGCTAACGAAACCGCGAGCAGGAGTTAAATATTCCTTTGACGTGTGTTTGCTTGTTCAGCCCAGCCTTATACGCGGAGCAGCCTCCCTGCGCTACACCCAACGGAGCCAGTACCACCCCATGGCGACGGCAACCCCGATTCTTCGAGGTCACATCTCCTCGTCCAAACAGACCTCCGCAGCCGCCCTCGTCGATATCCCGCACACCTCCGTCGCCAGCACGTCTTCCGCCGCCACCGCCGGCAGCGCCGCGTCTCCCACGCTCACGCGATCCTCCTCACAGCCTGATCTCACCACTGGCGGGACCGGTGTCAGCCGGGCGCCCCTCTACCGGGCTGCGACGGCCTCCTCCTCCGCCGCCACCTCTGGAGGTGGCGGTGACGCCCTCATGGCCATCCGGGTGTGGCGATCGATGGGCAGTGAGGACGGCGGTGGCACCAAGGACCAGATAAGCAAGCTCGTGCCCGTCCACCGACACACCACGGCCAGACAGGCGATTCGGCTCGCCGCGCAAGAATTCAATATCGACCCAGAAGACGTCGGCGCCTACTGTCTGTGCCAGGTTGGTGGAATTGACACTTACTGCTCTGTTAGCATTCTTCCAGGAAAGTTTCTAACGTTTAAACTCTCTAGAAAGTTTCTCCTGACCGAATACTCGCACATCACAGTTAAGAGACCAAAATGTTCCTTCACAAAGTACACTTTCAGATTCGGGAGTGCTTGCTGTCCGAGGTCAAATGTACCGCTGCACGTTTGCGAGGAAATGAGGGGTTAGTTAGTGAGGCTAGCGGGTGGATGGAAGGGGGTGCGTAGGCGGTATCAAAGTACGCCAGAATGCGTGCTTCGGGGTTGTCTACTGCCGTCGCCTTTTTTTGTTTTCTGCGCAGGTCACTGTGGACGAGGGACCGATTATGAAGCAGAGTCGAATCGCCGACACAACCGACGACCTGGCGAACCGCATTTCCCTCAACTCACGGTACTACCTCAAGCCCAATCGCAAGTCCGACGCCCTCATCACCGACGAGGTCGCCAGGGTCATCTACCAGGAAAGCCGCGTTTGCCTCACCCAGGTGAGTCGGCTCTGTCTGATCCACTCCCATACAAATCCAGCTATTCGCATCGGGTATTCCCAGATCTTATCGTTTCTGAAAATCGATGCAGACGCTCTTCGATTGATCGCCTATTCAATCAAGTTCTATAAGAGCGCGATGTGGCTGCTAATGAATTAATCACTACAGTAAACAAGCCGACGTCTGTTGAATAAAGAGCCAGAAGCCCTACGTGTAGTCTGCGTCGCAGGGCGTACTTTCGTATGCATGAATCACTGGTGATTGGGTGAGTCACATAATCACATTACCGAAGCCTGGCACAGCAATGACGTAAGGTGTTGCGGCTAATTAGAGTGTCACACAATCTGTCCGGCATTAATTGCTGGAATGCAGATTTGTTTTCCGAAGTTACTGGATCGGGCTTGTGTTGTTCCAATTTGAAGCAGGTGTACAATCTCCATTGTGAACTCAAGCAATTGGTTTTTTTCACACCTAAACCTGACATTGTCCGTGTGGCGGGTTCGGCCCAGTACAAGTAACTCCATTGCACTGGTAACTGCTGAGGTCTCTTGTGCACAGCAGCTAAGAGCCGCGGTCCGTCTACGCAGGTGGGCGAAAAATGTTGACGAGCCCGGCATTAATTACCGTCACTGCGTAGGTTGATTCATTCGTGTAGTGATGTGGGCGTGTGAGAATCGCCCCTTCATCTGAAGTCGTGGTTGGGTATATTTGAATTTATTTGTGCTTGAATTGCCATATCCACCCCCCGTCGGTTAATTTAAACCCCGGGGGGTATCAATTTCAATCGTGTGCGCTTATTGCGATACTCAGCTGGCCATAAATAATTGTCAGCGTGGCTGAACACAATCTGGGGATGTTCCTGTTCAAGGCCTCATTTCGATTGGCTGTCGGTGTTGTCGCGTGGGCATTAGCGAAGACGTAACAGGATAAAACAAATTACAACGTACTCACACGCTAGCATGATTCTACTTTGTGTTCGTTAGTTCTGCTGAGTTAGCTACCAGTTTACCTAGAAGTTGCCTCTCTCAGTTGAAGTCGGGAAGTGAATGTCTAGCTCCATCCACACACCACGACGTGTTCTGCCATTGTAGCTCTCACCTGAGGAGCTCGCAATCCAGCTAACGCTGGACGACTACGACGTGTTTCGATCGATTGAGGCGTCGGAGTATGTGGACAAGGTGTTCGGTCTCGCCCCGTCCGAGAGCGCTTGTGGCGGTGGCGATGGGACGACTGGTTTCGCAACCGGCTGCACCAACCTGGACGCCTTCGCCGACCTCGTCAACAAGGAGGCCTACTGGGTGCCCACGGAGCTCTGCTCCGAGCCGAGTCTGCCCAAACGCGTTGACATGCTCAAGCGCTTCATTAAGGTAGGGGCAGAAATTGCACACAAGTGCCCTCTTTGCCTGTTCTTCTGCTGTCACCGCAACCGTCAACTTTCGTAGTAGGCCCAAAACGCACTCGCACGTTGCTCTGTGCGTGTGGCTAGTCCACTACTCGCGTTTCCGCTTTACGCCAACGTCCCATCAAGTCGAATCTATTACTGCCACGCTGTCCTTTTGGCCGAATTTTTTTTTGTTAACGGTCAAATTGAGCCATTTCCTCAAGTAAGATCATCCTCACTTACCGCAGCCACACAGCCTCTCTTCGTCATCATCGATTTCGCCACTTGTCTTTCATTGGTTGGTTGTTTTCCACACGCAATTTTTCGTTGGCTAGTTCATGCAACCACAGGAGGTGAAGAGAATCTCCCTGGTAAACCACGACAAGGATTCCACTTGTTGGGTGGCCAATTTGTGCCATTTGGTTTGTAGATAGCAAAGCTGTGTCGGGATCTGAGGAACTACAACACAATGTTCTGCATCCTCATTGGCCTTCACATGGCTCCAGTCGAACGCCTTCGACAGACCTGGGAACGCCTCTCCAGCAAATACGTCAAAATGAGTCGCGACTTGGCGGTGAGTTTCTTCGCATCTCAAGCAGAATGTCGAGAACAGCCGCGTTCCACGGAATTTTTAGCCCTAATTCTCGTCTCACTCCTCCTTTATTTTCCTTATACAGCTCGTGTTGGACCCCTCGCGCAACTTCGCTCACTACCGCAACCTCCTTTGCCCCGGGGGCGTTGTGTCGTCGTCGTCTGCGTCGGCTGGCGGATCGATCGAAGGTCCCGCGGCCGCTTCGCAGGCTCCGATGTTGCCGTACCTCCCCCTTGTGCTGAAGGATCTCACCTTCATCCACCTTGGCAACCCCTCAAAATCACCCGGTGACAAACTGCCCCTCGTCAACTTTGCCAAGCTCCGCATGTTCGCAAAGGAGGTTTGTTCTGGCTTTATTGGCTTCGAACATGTATTTCTTCACTCAAAACACGTCGGAACTAGGTTGCCTGTGTTGGCGTTATTCCCATCACGAAGTACACGCACACACACACACACTTCATTCTTTGCTTGTTTGGCGGGGATTTGCTCTGCTTGAATTAGAGCCCAAAATTCGGCGCCTTTGTCTTAACAAGCAGACGCCGTTCTGGCAGTGCGCCATCCGGTACTTGTTTTCGGTGCGGCCTCATTTTTCACCAAGTTACTTTTTCTCGGATGTGTGCACACCTCTCTTTCTTCACCAGCATTGTCTGAGGCGATCGAGCCTCTCCCCCCTCCCTCCCTCCCTCCCTGCCCAAGCGTGTTTTTTGTCAAGCCTGATCAGTGTCAGCTGCTGCAAGGCATTCCCCCGCTGTCTTCTCTGTGGCCTGCTTGCGGCGAGGGAGTAACGGTGAGTGGGGGGGGGGAGGAGGGGTGTCCGGTGGCATCTGGCTGACAGACCGTCAGAGTGGGTGCTGGCGGTTGGTGCTTGTTCCCTGCCTCCACCCGTGCCTTGCGCTGTCTTCTTCGTCTTAACACAACTCGCATTGCGAAAAATCAGAAACCTCAGTCCTACTGCGCTTATCAACCACGTTGCCTTCACCTCTTGTTCGCTCGCACCTATCCCTCTAGTCTGCCTAAAAGGTTCCTTCCTATTGATCCAACGACTTCATTTCTCAACTCTCAATTGCGATGGTTTTTATTTTTAGTTGAATTTGTCATTGTTTACACACCATCTGTTGAAGCTGTCTCGTGGAATGCGGCGACGCACACGCCTTGTTCAAACACGTCTAGATATGTTGACTGTTTTATTTTACCGTAAGCCCTCTTTCGCTTAGATTCGATCGCTGCGTCGAATGTGCAACATCGATTATGGTCTCTCATTGGCTCAGCGGCTGCTCCAATCAGGCGGGACTGCAAACAAACTTGGACTCTTATTGGTTGGTGGCGGAGCTCCTTCGATTGACCTTCAATCTGCCGCGAACATTTCAACAAGCATCTCAACTGGTGGCAGTTCCAACAACCCCGCATCCGACCCCCCAGGCAGTCAAGGTGGGTATTGTGGTCTGCTTTCGTCGTTGTCACAGATGCTAATCAAATTGTTGGTAGAAAATGTAGGACTAATTTCGGCGCGGGAGTCGCTGGTAGTGACTGATTGCCGTAAATTCTTTCAAACCCTCTTAACCGTACAGAGCTGTACCAGACATTTCCTCGAAAGCTGAAACAATTTACAGAAGCTAGTTCAAATCATGAAAACCACGTGAAAACAATCTACTAGCCAATAACGTTTGACGCAAGTCACGTATCAAAAACAGGGTACGTGAATATGTTTGGACAAGGCGAATACAAAGTTTGCAAGCGCTTCACTTCGACCCACCTAGCGGGTGCATAGACATAGGGGAAGCGTTTGAGATAACCACGCCACGAAATCTGCCATGTTTTCATTAATTTGATGCAAATGTGCGATAAGGCAATGCTCCAAACCGTGAATCCAAGTGCTTAATATGAGTGACGAGTGAGCATTAGTCGTGTTTGAAAAATTGGCGTATTGCAGTCGTCAGAAGTGGCGGCCATTAGTAGGCGGGTGTACGAAAGTGCTGTTGAGTGTCGAAGCAGAGGATACCATCCAGAATTAGAGTGTTTGTGCTTCTGACTAAGCCGTATTTTGCCCGTTAGGAGGTGCACTGCAGTCGAAGAGGTCGTCGGATGGAGCAGTGGGAGTTGCCTCAATCCTAACCGGCGCGTCCTCGTTCCTGCTCTCAGCCGGCGCCAACTCCCCGAACCACCACCGGAACGCGTCGGCGAGTCTGAAGAAGATCTACGCTGCCTGGCTGATGCGCCTTCGTGTGCGCACCTACATGGCCAGTCTCCGAGTGACCGACGACCTCGAGTCCTTGGCGCTGCTGTCGAACAAGGCGGAGCCAGGTCCGAAGGAGGCCACGCCGACACCCGTCGCCAGACCACCGCCCGCCACACCCACAACCGCCGGCTCTCCGAACCCGTCCGCGGCCAAGGCTGCGTCTTCTGGTGCGTTCCTTCTCCATCCAGAACTCCCATCATATTGTACAACAGTGGTATCATCAATCGCCAACTCATGTGGCTGTGACTTATTTGAGTGCTGTATCCCTTCTGCGAATGCGGTGTCAATTACAAAAGTAATCCTCTCCATTCATTTCTTCTATTAGAGGTGCAACTACCTGCCAATCAGAAATCTCTTGCCTCTCCACTTTCCCCCCCACCGACCTCTGTGTCGTCAGTGCCCATCGCAGCCACTGTTTCCCCCAACCCTACCGCCACCATCTCCTCTCACCGATCGATATTCGGCACTCAGTCGATTGAAGATGCGCGCAAACTAATAGCTCTTCAAGAACGGACATCACGTCGGCGAATGCGAATGTGCGCTGTGCCGACTTATCACCAACAGTACCAGCAGTACAACCACAATGGCGTGGCGGCGATGACTGCTGGCGCCCCTATCTACTTCCCGGGACAGCTGCTTCCGCCTCACCAGAGGATTAGTCAGCGTCCGAGGCACCTGCCCCACCTCGTGCCCACAGCCTCCCGCCTCCCACCCACCTCCTCCTCCTCCGCCGCCAGCGCCTACTTCCAACAGCACCAACAGGCCGCCGCAGCTCATTGGGTCGCTCGCCAACAGCAGCAAATGGCGGCCTACAGCAACCAACGAAGCAATCAGACGAGAAACAAGTTTCAGTCGCCATCACCACCACCACCGCCTCCTCCGCCGCCGCCGCCACCCCCACCACCTCAGCACATGGTGCCTTGGATTCAGGTACCACCGAAGCAACCACCCGCGTACGACTACGCCTTGGCTCTCAAAATGCAACAACAAACGCGGCCCGTCGGCGTAGCTAGCAGCGGTAGCGGTGGTGGATTTTCAAGGCGACCGAATGAACACCCTCCACTGCTGCACCGCGGAAGCGGGGGACCTGGTCAAATGGTTACGTCGCCCCCTCTCGTCCGCCGTCGACCATCCCCACAACCGACAGCACCGGGCCACCAGCAGCAACAAAGACCACCACTACCCTCCTACCATGAAGTACGCGGCCCTTATGGTTGTTGTGTCTTGTGAAATTTCCCGCCTGCTTGATCGTCACTGTGCTTCTCCTTGCTTTAGGTCGTAGCGATGAAGCAACAACAGCAACAGCAGCATTTCGGCGGTGCTATCCAGCAACCCTCCCGTGGAACAGGTACGTTGACAGCATGTTCATCCTCAGAAAGAGCTCTCAACACCGCTGCGCTCTCGTCTGGATCAAGTTGAACGGTCTTTGCCTGTTGTCCGGGTGAACATCGGTCACGATTTCACACGTCAATTCAGGCATCCATAAATATTGTGTTTAGTCTTTTTAAACAAGTTCTTTTTAATTAAACTAATACACTCCACCTAATGTGAAAATTTCCGTCATAAAGGTAGTTTTCCTGCTTCTCACTTAGATGGTCGACCGATGCGATGAGCGGACCGCGTCGAAAGCAGCTCTCCGCCTCACCGAGCGTCTTTGTACATACATGTGTCTGACGAATTTGCCTTCCTCCCCTCCTCCCTTCCTTTCCTCCCCAGTAAAGCCATCATCTTCGTCCAACCCAAACCGCCGACTTAGTTGCTTTTAGACTTGCATAATTAATATACGTATATATACACACACATATATAGTCTAATAATTGCTGCTTTGTACAATTATCTTTTAAGTACAATGTGGTTGGAAGCTTCGAAGAAAATTCTACTATTGACTGGTTATTTGGGACGTTCTTTGCATGATACACTTTTGGTTTGATTAAACAATGTGGGAAAAAATAGCAACTACGGCGAATACAAAGTAGAAACATTTTGATCATTGCAAACATTAGAGAAGAGGCAATTGATATCCGCATTCAAATGTCGTTTTCTGCTTCCACTGAAATGCAGGAGGCTGGAGCAAGACGAATGCAGAAGGAGAGTTGTTGATACAGCGACATGAAGTGGTGTTTGAATTAAACAGTGCGCCTTTGTGTGCGGTGAGTCGGCTGCGTAAACACTGCTACGCAGACGCACCGATAGGATGTAGAGAAGATCTTCACTGGAGCAGGAGGTGGGCGTGATCTGGTCTATAAAGAGGCTAATTGTACGATGCGAGACGTCCGTTTGAAGTGGAATACAGAGTCAGACTTGGGTCTTCACTGTCCGCTTCAACACATCCAGAGTCGAGTAG